GTTTGTGCTGTAATAAGGCCACGATATTTAAAAGATACATACGCATGGAGTACATTCTGGAGTCCCTGTGGAGGTAATCAGAGGTATTCTGTGTGTATACCATGCAACTCAATGTGAATAGCCTGTATTTAGCAAAGAGTATTCAAGCTAGTGCGGTGGTATCAGACTATATTTTATTATTAAAAGAATAATTTTGTTATTCGTTTTAATTTCCATGTGAACCCCTGTTATTGCCAACTTAATCCCTCTCATGGTGCCGTGGGTGGCTGCTTGTTCTATGTAGCTTGCGAAACTTAATTTCAAGTGCTGCCTCCTGCTTCGCTTTGTGGTCTCGGGCTCGTTCGGCCACCCTCTGCTGGAGCAGTTTGGTGCCATTCTCGCCCATAAACTCAAAGCACTTCTCCTTCTCTTCGTTGATCCTCTGACAGTACTTGCGAAGTCTCGCGTGACAGTCTTGAAGGATCACTTGGATCATATCTCTGTCGTGCTTAAATACTTTGCGTCTCTCCAACTCTGTATTAACCGGAAGTCTTTTAGAAACACACTTCGGTAAGACATTATTGTCGAGACACCTGTAGCGACCCCTTAGTCTCAGTCATGCTTCCCTCGGACGCCGCGGGGACAAGGTCACTCCCTTTCTCACTAGCTTTCTCAAGGCGGTCTGGTATCATTAGCCAATCACTTGTCAAGGGCGAGGCCAGCGCACAAACTGCGGGGGATTTGTTTACCCTCATTCACTTCCAGAGCCATATTGTTGACCCCGACGCTTCGTTATCCCACATTGTTGACCCCGACGTTGCTATATTCAACACTCGACTCCGACGTTTATCTACACCACAAAAACGACACCGACGTTTAACTCACTCCACTTTACTCAACACTATCGACTCCGACGCCTCTCTTTCTCAATGGTGACCCGAAATTCTTCATCGTGCCTTCAATTCCGCGTACCTGGTAACAATTCGAACACTCACTTGCTCCTATCAACGTTCCGACTCACTGGAATACGTTGACAGGATGTCCTTCCCTCTTACCTACTTGCCGACTCACTGGTAAGGGTGACGGGATTATTCAAGGACATTCTTTTTCCCAACAACGCGCCGACTTACTGGTTTTCGTTGCCGAGCTTCACTCTCCTCCTATCAACCTGCCGATTCACTGGCAGGTATTGTCGACATTATACGGTCGATGAACACCCGTTAATTATGTGGTAAGAGATAGATGAAGAATGAGCAAGAATGCGGTTGTTGCAGCGGAAAGTCGACTA